AATAAAAAAACATCTATATTGAATCTGACTTTTCTACATCCAACTGACAGGTTTATCATTACTTTGAGAAAAAAGATTATTAATTTAACCCTTTTAGAAGGGAAGATATGGTCGTTTGTTCTGGGAATGTCATTTTCGAGCCTGAAACCTGAAAAACAGGCTCGGGGTTTAACAGGTTAATGTTGCTCTCAAAGTGCAGCAGATTGATGCTTTTAACTTCAACATTTAAAAAAAAAAAAATCAATAATTAATAATCCAAGAGGAAAAAGGTTTCCCACCCGTGCTGTAAATAATAATAAAAACCCTTGATTTATAACTTAACATCTCTGTCTCGTTAATATAGCCAGTTAATTGAAGCTTTATAGCACAGGCCTTTGTCAGATGGTATATTACGCAGTTATTTTTCTGCTTCGAATAGTTCTCTCTTTTTTTCCCCATACATGTTTTTGCATCCCTGCACTATAGCCAACACTGACTGTCCCACAGCCATTCAAATGTCTTTGTTTAGTAAAGGCAATCGGTGAACTGGCAACTTTGGTTCTCTAATCCCTTTACGCTTATTATCATTTGTCAACTTTCCTTATCATTTGTCAACTTTCCTATCTTTATCAAAACTATTATCCTTCGTTGTGCTCTTCCCCGTCTCCAGCTGCTGTATTCTCCAGTGGAGAACATCCAGCGCGTGGCAGCAGGTGTGCTGTGTGAACTGGCTCAGGATAAGGAAGCTGCTGAGGCCATTGAAGCTGAAGGAGCCACTGCCCCCCTCACTGAGCTGCTGCACTCTCGTAATGAGGGTGTTGGTGAGTAAACAAGCTGTGCTCACATTTCTGATCGGTCTGTGAACTTGTGTATTCCCGGTGTACCTGACTTGTATTGCCGTGCTTTGTCTCCTGTAGCTACCTATGCTGCAGCTGTCCTGTTCCGCATGTCTGAGGACAAACCCCAGGACTACAAGAAGCGTCTTTCAGTGGAGCTGACCAGCTCTTTGTTCAGAACCGAGCCCATGGCCTGGAACGAGGTGGCACACATACATTGCAAATGAAACAAATCTGTTATGATCAGGGACAACATAGACTTCTTAACAGGTTTAAGTAACTACCACTGCTTTAATGCTATATACACTAATGTTAGACTGTACTTTTGCATACTGTATACAATTAGTAAAGCGCTATAGTATTGGAACAAAGGCATCCATTTTCCTCTGTCGGCTGGCTTGTGTCGTGCTTTACTCATCACTGATTTGCCTTTTTATAGACTGGAGACCTGGGACTGGATATGGGAGCTCAGGGAGACCCTCTGGCTTATCGGCAGGATGGTGAGTGCCTGTGTTGTCTCTAATGAAATCCCCCCCCTCGGTTTCTCGCCTCTTATTTCATCATGCTTTGGTTTATGGAACTAGATTTTGAAAAACATCTGATTTGTTGTTTGTATCGAAATTATAGAATTTTCTTTTTTTAACTATTGAATAGGGTTTTTTTTTTTAATATAGATAAACTTGAGTGTCATGCATTACTTTTACTTATTTGAATATGTTGCTGCCTTGCTTGCAGTATTGCAGTTTATTAAAGCATAACCCTTCATATAGGCCTGTCACGATAATTAATTTTGTTGGACGATACATTTTCCCGGAAATTATTGCGATAAACGAGAATATTGTCGGCACCGTTGTAGACCATTTTAGACCACTGACATAATGATAATATCTAATAATAATAATACAAGTACATCCTTTTTTATTGAACATTCAAATGAAATTGCAAATAATATTTATATAAGTAAAACAAATTAATTAAATTATTAAATAAATCACACACAACCCAAACAATTAATTAAATAGACTCAGGCTGGAAAACAGAGCTCTCTTGTGACCAAAACACAATTGCACGCAATTGCATTTGTGAGTGCAGTAGTTTTTTTTTAAACTAAGTCGGGAAGGTGGGGGCTCTCCATCTGCTGTGTTTGCTCCCAGCTGGGAAAATGGAATGGGGTAGTTGTGTTTCAGGGGCAGTTTAAGGTTGATCGTATTGCTAGCTTTTGTTGCTACCTTTTAAAAACAAATGCGGCATAACAGCTCATTCAAGTCCGTAGGTTCGCCTCGTTGATTTGGCTTAAATCCAAAATATTCCCACACCGGAGATGTGGAATTAGGTTTTTCAACCAATTCCATTTAGCTTCAAATTCCCCTCGAGTAAGTCACACGTTGTCTCCTACTTGTCTCTATATTATTCATTTGGCTGTTACGCTGTTGCACGCGGAGTGTCCTGACCTGGCTGTGTGTGAGCCTCGCAGCGCATCGGGCCGGTAGAGTGGCCGGCTGCTGCAGCGCACCGGGCCGGTAGAGTGGCCGGTAGCCACAGCGCGCCTGGCTAGAATGCTAGTCACATCCTTATGTAAACAAACACGCATGTAAACAAACACGCATGTAAACGGCGATTTATCGAGGTCAGAAAAGTTATCGAGTTTTTTTTTATCGTACGAAAAGTCAATTAATAAAATTGCTTATCGCGACAGGCCTACCTTCATATCATAATGGGTATCATTTGACAAGATTTGCATATTTTTGTTTGTTCCGAATAACATTTTTTGTGTGTTTGGAACCGTTTGCACCACTTTTAATACAAAAAGAATTGTGTTTTTTTCAGATGGAGCCTACCGGGCCTACCCATCAGCCTACGGCCAGGACTCCCTTCTGGACCCCATGATGGAAGGGGCTGACTACCACACCGACACTCTGCCCGACCTGGGCCACCACACTGACCCTCTGCCAGACCTCGGCCACTCCCAGGACCTGATGGACAGCAACCAGCTGGCCTGGTTTGACACCGACCTGTAGGATTGGTAAGCCATAATGCCACTGCACAAAATATAACTTTCCATATCACAGTATCAATATAATGATCTAAAAAGCAACTAACTGAAAATGTTGTCCTGTGCTCTTTTGCAGTTGTGTGCTGAGGGAACCTGCATTGTCTGAAGCGGCATTATGATTGGCCTGTAGAGTTGTTGAAGGTAAAGAGAATAATAAGAGGTCTTGGAAAGTGCCTGACACAAAAAGAACAAATAAGATGGTTGCCATGGGAGTGTTTAAGCAAGTTGATGTGGGAAATGAAAGTGTTAAGTATCAGAGAGATGTGGAATCACACAATGGAGGTCTTGGAGCAGGTTACCTATATGGATGAGTGCACATGAGGTGGATCTTAAAGTTTGAAACACATGTTTTAGCCTTGCCTGTATTCTTATCAGTTCTTGTTTCTATTTTTCTTATTCTATTTTTTTATTTCTTTTTGTATTACTCATTCTCTGTTATGGTACTGACCCAGCTTGCCTTCGCACTAGCCATCTTCATTTTCTCTTCAATGCTAATCATTTGTAATTTCTTCTTCCTTTTTTTTTAAACGTATATATTACATGTAGTGTTAAGTTATAGTGATATTATACAATGTTCCTTTGGTTTATGGCCGAATGTGTAGAACACTAATAATCAGATGACATGTACCCTGACTTAAAGTGTAACATTGTGTAGTTTTTTTAAAAATAATAATCTCAAAAATGGAGAGTTATGCATTCTTAATATGTGCTTGTTAAAGCATAAAATATTTCAGTGTCACAAATGTTCTAAAGAGGGAGATGGGTAAAATTGAGGGTGGGTTGGGGATAAATCTAGAGACAAGTGTTTTATATACAGTATCACTGGTAGGTTATCAACTATTTTGTATGCTATCATTGGATGTCTGATAGAAAAGTCTTTAATGCTATCATTGGTGGTCTAATAAAACCCAGTTTTATGTGCTATCAAGGGTAGCTAGGTTGATGAACCAGTTGTAGTCCTGCTGTGCTTATTTTGGAGACGAGGTTGTGACACGGCTGAACAATAAAATGGCATTTTATTTCATATAGTCTCTGTCCCGTGTCGTCTGTCCTTCCATGTGATGTTGTGAGAGACTTGCAGCCTTTTTTAAAAACGTTTACTGTTTATAAAGTTCTAATTTTTGTCTGGGTGCCATTTTAACTTCATCTGTACCCTCGGCATTTGAATAAAGACAGAATTTGGGCAATCTGGCGCATGTAGCAAGTTATACACACATTTAAAATGAGACAAATTGTTTTTTAGAGCAGAAAATATGTGGACAAAAGATATTAACCATAGTAGAGGAAACAAATAGTCAACAAAAAAGTTGTTATGATTGTCAAGGGGGATAGAGAATACAAATACAACTAGATGCTGAAAGGCTGTCTGACGAGCGGAGAACCATTTCAGTGTATAATATGCCAAAAGACAATCTGATTCCTGTCAGTTTCTCAACAAAAACTAATGATGTAATGTATTTCCCCCACCCCATTAATGCACCTCCAGTCCAGTCCAATGATCAGGGTAACTGTTTATGAAAAGGAACTAAATCTGAACTATAAACAAATAAGAATATTTATTAAGAATGTGTTAAATCCAAATGTATACATATATCACAATAAACCTCCAGGTCTATATGAAAATGTGTGTGTGTCACTACATTCCAATTCAGTGTTTTAGAGGAAACTAAATACATATTTAATATACTATGCAAAACCAGTCTGTCCCTCCACAAAGAAAGCTCAAAAGAGACAACTGTGATAAATGAGGTGATAATCACTGGAATGTGGGTCACTAAAATGAACATAGATGCTTTAAGTGGATAGCATTTGAAAACATGTCGGTGATTTTCACCTGATCTGAACCACTATGTTATTAAAAGGAACAAAGGAGCCACTCTGACACGCAGTAAACGTATGAAATCATGTGTCGACACATTACAAATTACCTTTATAATTTTACTGTACTTGAGCTGATATCTGTATTTGTTTCCATTATACGCTTCTAACTGCTTTTGGTACTTAATGTTTCCTATGCATAGTGGCTCACTGTTAGATAAAGCAAAAGAATGATCAACCAAAAGCTTAAATTGTTTTCCCCTTTTATTACAAAACATAAAGTGCAGTAGAAAGTGTGTATCACACCAAACACAGCGTCTTTTTTTACGGATAAAAACGGAGAGCATCCTGGGTGAAAGTGGGTACAGAGTAAGTGATGTAGCTGCTGTGAGGGCTGGAGAAATAAGGAGCAGCTCTGGCTCTTGTGTACACAGGGAATGAGGACTCCGTGCACACATGCATCCTGATGGGTGTAGCAGCGAGTCCACAGTGTGTGCTGCCCCCCGTTGAGCAGATGGGGGAACTTTCATCTGAAGCCTGAAGGAAGAGAGGCTCCTCAGAGTCCCAGCTGAAGCTCTTCTTATTCCATACTTTTTGTATGGAGCGTCGCTGCTGATAATCCACTTTGAGCGGCACACTGGACAGAGGAGAAGCTCTGGAGGCCCGAGCAGAGGGACTGTCTCTCTTCAGGAGGGATTCAATAGAGAAAGGACTGCTGAACTTCACCTCACATCTGATCTGAACCCCTCTGCAGGCTGCAGGTTCAGGAGATGGGACAGCTGAGCAGTTCCTCGATGCTTTGCTCAGGTTCTCCGTTTCCACTTTGGAGGCCAACTCTGGGAAGAGCTGCAGGATTCCTTTGAAGTGACGACGCGCCATCTTTGCTGTGATATGACCAGAGTCCAGTTTCCATTAGTTCTTCCTTATGAGATCTGGGACACCTGGAATCTGGAAAAATACAACACAGGGTTCATAGACAGAGCTTAAGTTGTTTAATAAGGAACATTTCCATGATCCAACATTTTTGGAAAGAAAACTTACCTTGACAAAACATTTGTTGTTTGATAAACAAACTCTGATGTTGTTCTCAATAGTCACTATGTCATCAGGGATTAATGGTGCTCGTCTGTCCATCAAATAAGAAAAAAAGTTGAAATTAACTTACAATCAAAAAAATGTTTCACACGGCACTTTTTTAATAATTGCAAATGTGTTGGCCCTTTCTTACCTGAGTACAAGTGAGCATCTCGCCAGGAACGTCCTGCAGGATGACGGCGATCTTGGCCAGGTAGGTGGTGCTCTCCCTGAACAGACCTCACTGAGAGCTAGCTGGCTGGACTGGAGAGAGATCCAAACTTCTCAGGCCTGGTCTGCATCTTTTTTTGGGGAGTTGGGTCCCAAAAANATCGCAGAGCAAAAGTTAGCTGCTAATGGTAGCCACCAGAGTGGCTGCTGTTATTTGGTCGTGTGTGTGTATTATACTGCCGCATAGCCAAGACCGGAAGCAGCAGCCACTCTGGTGGCTACCATTAGCAGCTAACTTTTGCTCTGCGATTTTTACATAATAATGGAATTATAAATAATTCTAATTATTGCCCAGAAACTTTATCAACCTATGGATTAACCGATTCAGCCGCGTTTTCTCGGTTTAATGCCATTTAACACGTCTTTTGATCAGATTAACAGCTACGGGAGACGATCTCCCTAGAAGCTACGTGTTGTGATGTCTGTCTTTGCTTCCCGTCGCAAGTTCGGATCACTCAGTGATGATACTATATACCTAAATAATCTGTGGAACCTCAGTTTTAATCGGATATCTTGTATGTGCAGCTACGATAAGTAATAATGGTACTTTTATCTTGAGTTCTGTGCCAAAGTGCGTTAGCATTTTTCGCTAAGGGGTCATTTAGATGCTTCTTATNCGCCAACGGAGCCCCGCGCCCCCCCTGAAATTCAAGGTGTTCAAAAAAAAAAAAATTCTTTTTTTTTTATATATCTTTTTTTTACATAAAAAAACAATTATAATATTTTTTATATATATAGCACCAAGTTGCAACTAATCTATATCTACTGTCACTTTTCACATTGAATATGTGCTCTTTTATTAAATAAACTAAATGCTTTTATTTTAAGTTTAGTGTTTTTGATCCTAAGAAACACTGATGCATTAATCAATAACAATAATCCACAGCTCCTCTCTCTGCTCCAGATGAATTAAAAACATATATATTTCTCCCCCCCCCAAAGCAGTACACCTAGGGGAAACACTGCAGAATAAAGATGAATAAAATGACTTTCAAAGACAAACATTATAGCAAACAAAGCATCTGCAAACTGAGGCGATTTGATGAGATTACACCACTGGAGGAGAAGAAGCACTTCAGAGTGAGGGGGAAAAGGATCAGGGAAGAGAAAATAAGAAACAGGAAGATGACACATGGAGTGTAAGGCAGAACTGACTCATGCACTGATGACCACACCGCGAGAAGTCATGGAGTGCATGAAGAAGACTGTTTTTTTGTTCTTCTCTGCAAGCCAGTCAGCCGATCACACACACAGCAGCTTTAAAAGAAATCTTGAAAATCTTGGAGCTGGGCCCGTCTGAAAGCTTGGGGATTTTCTGCGAGCAAAGCGACCAACAACCAATCACATGAATCTCCCGCCCCCGACATACAAAGCAATAGCAATGTTAAAACGAAGTAAACTGGATATAAAATCCCCAAACAGGCGAAAACCTACCAGTTTCCCCCACTGTCTCTGCCACCTCCCTCCATGCCTGGTTTCTCCGGTTTGTATTCCGGTAAGTTATTAGCGACTGGTCATAAAGAACCGGATGATTTGCTACCGCAATAACTAATTTCTCCTCCATTTTCAGGAATATAGAAAATGAACTGCGGTATGTCTCTCCCAGCTTGCACGCGGTTTGATTGGCTCGCGCTTGTACTGTCAGATTTGCATAAACGGGATTTGATTGGCTGACGCTTCCACCTCGGCTTCAAAAGTTGAACATTGCTCAACTTTTGAATCCTGAAAATCCTGGAAATCTTCGCTTTGCTTCCCCACAATGCAGTTCAGCGCAAAGCGAGGCAAAGTGACGTCACCCCATTCAAAGTCAATGGGCAGAGAAGCGTTGGAAGATTTTTTTAACGCTGCTGTGTAGACGGGCCGTCAGTCCCTCAACCAGCTAGGTATCCCGTCAGTTCATGTATTTAGTTATCAAGGTAGCTACATAGTAAATCAGTAAACATATGGAAGCTAGTCACTCACACAATCAATTAGTGAATAAAGCAGGCATTAAGCTGCAGAGTAAGTTCACCTGTCAATCAGCTGAGTGGCTCAACAACGTAATTAGCCAAACAAGTATTATCACATTTGACCTGTACTGTATCCAGAGCAAATGGCACTTCCTGCCACCTTACAATTAAGTAAATAAAACATCTCAATCGTGTAAGGAGAGCAGTAGCACATGCTCGCAGCAGTGGAGGAACGTTAAGATTTGTACTGTGGCTTCCGGGCAAATCTCTTCTCAAAATCCAAGTTGTTGTGAAGAGAAGTGCTTGACCTCAGTCTTCAAACTGTGGTCTACACTTCAGAGAAATCCCAACTGTTACCAGATGTAAGTATCTATTGTGCCACCTAGATTTCTTACATTGATTTTCCCTGACTAGAGGGCAAGCAGTTATTCACTTCACCTTATCTCGAGAGCCATCGGAGAAGTTTGACACAGCAGCAGTTATAGTTTCATAGGTGGTAATCATGCAATCAGCGAAAGAGGCAAAACTAAAAGGAAGGATGGTTCACACTGCCCTCCACACAGGTTTGGAAAAAGGTAACAGTAGAATACAGTGCTAGGAAATGTATGCATGGTGGCCAGCTTGTTGTTATATTGCTTTACAGTTCCATTGTTGTTGAAACCCAACACCAGCACAGGATATCTAAGTGGTTTGTAGTTACTTGATGGGGACAGCCAAGATGTCCCCCAGCCGGCCAGGGGGTTGATCGCTGTACCTTCCTTATGAAAGGCTTACAGCATTTGTTCAATCCCCAATCCTTTGCTCCGAGCGGTGTAAACAGAGGTTTATTGTAAGTGAATGGGTCTCGGCTTTGGCCATCACGCTCCTATGCAGTTTCCTCCAATTCTCCCATTGAAAGAGGGATTACAGGAAATTGGCTTGGTGTAACAAGGAACAAAGCTCAACACACACACACACACACACACACACACACACACACACACACACACACACACACACACACACACACACACACACACACACACACACACACACACAGAGAGAAAGTATACTGCCCTTTTAAAAACAAACCGACACGTAACTGACTGAAACAAAACAAATGAGAGAAAAGCACATTTCTCCTGATATGGATGTGTTTTTACAGGAAATTAAGTGAAGGATTTAATTAAATAAATAATAGAGTAAGAAGATAACTGAGAGGTTAAAGTAAACACACATACAGTGTTGATAGAAAAATGTAAATCGGGATTAGAAGGAGCTAAGGAATCCATGAGGGCGAAAGCAAATTAAGCAGAAAAGGTGAAGGAATAGGTTAAAAGAAGGGGGTGAAAGAGAGCAACTAATATACGGGTGGTCTTTCCATACTGACATTCATAACACAGACATACCCCAATGTGTGTATGTAAGCTAGCAGACGACACAAAAACATTGGAGGCAATAAATAAGATCTGGTTAATAAAGGCAGGGGAATACAGTTGATATGGTGATGTAAGTACACAAACCATCCCACGTTTGAATAGTGTGTATTTTTTAAGTTGCTTGTTAGATGTAGTGTTTTCATTATTCACCTTCATCGACTCAAACTCACATGCTTCCATAGTGACGGATCCAAATTTGTAAGCCAATAATCTGCAATTCCCAAAATATCGTGACTTGTCTGTGGAGGGGTTGGGGGTGGGGATTTGTCAACTTATCTGTCTAATAACAATTATTTGAAATAAATGCATATTTCCCCTGCCTTTGTCCATGCGTCTTTCTGTCCGTCACCCTCTGCTGAATTATCTATTTATTTATTTTATCTTCTCCACATTAGCACCAGCGGTTATTTCTCCCTCAGTGATGCTTATAGAATATCTAAAGATGTGTCTGTCTTTTATTTTGCTTACAGATTACAGTTCCTTTCTAAACCTCCCAGGCATGTGGTGACATTTTTAATCTCCTGTCATTTCCTTTCCCTAGGCCGCCTGTCTAAATCTTTTGTGTTGTTTAGGATGTCTGCGAGTTTCATCACGTTAACTTTGTCAGACAAATGTTAGGAAGAGACTCATATTGAAGCTGGAATCCAATGTGAAAATGATGGAGAATGAATATGCTTTGCGTGTTGGGCTAGGTTCTCATTATAATACAATTTACTTTCAGACCACTCACTGAATTAAGACTTGAAAACTGACTGGAATAAAGACTTCTAAATTCTAAGTAAAGATAACATGTTCATCTAAGGCTTTTACTTATATTTCTGGAGTTGCTCTCTACTAAAGCTTGTATTTGTTAATTACATCCGTAAAGCATGAGCAAGACAGGTGTTAGGGAGTAAGGGAAGAATAATGCTGATTCACCACAAACAGAGAAGTTATCCCAGTCATTTAGATTAGATCATCAACACTAGTGTTGTCACGATACCAACATTTTGGTTTCGATACCGATACCAAGTCAAGAATTGCGATTCCGATTCTTTTTCGATACTTTTCTTTAAAAAAGGGAAACAGTCTTAAATGTAATTATTGTGCTTTATTTCACACCAGAACCATAACACAAACTTTTAAACAATGAGAACAAAATAAATGACAAGAATTCGTATTAAATAAAATTAAGCATCATCTCAAGCAACTTTTTTGTTTTATAAAATATAATTATTTTTATATTTTATTAACATGTACATGTCATGTAACAGTAATATAAATAATTATTGACAAAATGTATATTGCAGATGTTAGCCACATTGGTAAATTAGCTAAAAAGATAGCCATATTAGACAGTTATCATTGCCATTAATTGCCTCGTCAAACTACGAAAACGATTGTTTGTCACAAAATAATACACTTGTTTGACTTAGATTTGAGGGCATGGGCTTGAGCATGATGTAATTATGTTATCTATCACATTCGCTAACCTGTCTGTCTTTAAATAAAGCTCTGGATGCCGGTCGGCGGGTGCTTAGCCAAGTTTGATGTGTTGGCTCCCTTGGTTTCAGGGATCTTTCTCACAGACAGACCTCGTGGTGTCCGTAGGCTTGCCCTCACTGTCAGAGATATAGCTCAAATACTTCCAAATTTCGCTTCTGGCGTCTTTTTTGTCAACAAGCCGAGGCGCAGCGGCAGTTGCACTCCCGCTTGCAGCCATGCTTCTCGTTTAGTTTTCTCACATGCTCTGGCAGCTAGGGCGTGGCCGCGTGTACGAGAGAGGGGAGGGACTTAGAACGTCCTTGAGAGGGGCGGGACTGCAGGCACGTCTGCAGTGCAGGGAGTGGAAGCAGAGCGCTGAACACACACGGCTCTTATTAAAACGGCGCTTTCTCACCGAGTACTTTTCCCCGTCATTCTTAAAGTACCGATACTAATGAAACGGAGGAATCGTACCGTTTTTAACGGCAGGGTATCGCGGTACCTTTCAAGTATCGGTACACCGTGCAACACTACCAGGACCTAAACTATTTTTCAATGTAATGTAATGTTTGTACATACCAGCCTCGACGATGGCAGGCTTGTTGCTGGAGCAGACAGAGAGCACCTTGAGCACTCTGCTTGTGGTCCACAGCAGCTTCTCGTATGTGAAGGTCCTCATGATGTTAACCAGAGCCTGGGGACCACCGCTGGCCAGAATGATCAGCTAAAACAAAGACAGGTTCATGTTTAGTAATGCTACAACCTACTGCCAGCCAAGTGGCATCACTAGAGACATCTAGTCAAGGGCTTTTAGACATCTAGTCAAGGGCTTTTAAACCGGGATAGTATAAATCTCTCAATACCTTGCTTTCCTGGTTGCCATATGCAAGGATCTGCAGGCAGTCAGTAGTGATTGCCAGGAACTTGACGTTGGTGTTAGCCAACAGGGCCACCATCTTCTGCAGACCTCCAGCCAGACGCACTGCCATCTTTGCTCCTTCCTGGTGCAACAACAGGTTGTGGAGAGTGGTGATGGCGTAGAACAACACACTGTCCACTGGCGAGCTGGAAAATGTAAACAAAAAGTTTAGTCAGACAACAGTGCAAATCTAGTGTTTCAGATAAAACAGTTATCACACAAACTATTTAATAAAATACAAGTGTTGGACATATTGGAATATGTTATCTTGAAATAAATGTATAGTCCCTGGGAGACCTTTTGTACATATCGCAAAAACAAAATTGAGTTCTTTGAAACACAGTTTTCAGTACTGTTCACATCTGGCCAAATAATACAACATCCGAGGAACAATTAAAATATTGAACATATTTTTGGATCTGCATTCAAATGTATTTTGTGATAACCACCTTTGTAGTCTAGTATAATCAGGTAGTTCATCATCTTAAGCTACTCTTTCATCCTGCGTATGTGGTGGTAAATGTGGTAATATGATTCCAGCTGCAAATTCAAAGACACACGGGACATCCAACAGGTTGCAACTTGCCAGCCAGCAGAATAGCTAGCCAGTGTGTGTTTGGCTTTTCGTTGAGGTAGAACAAAGGGCAGAAGAGTAAAGTAAAAGGAGGAAGACGACCTAACAGTTTTCAATGTGTTGTAGTGTGCAGGTTATGGTTGGCCAACCAGGCTGATGCAGCCATTTGAAGGCTTTACTTTTAAGACAGTCTGTTTTTATTTACCGATAACTTGTGTGCTTAATGATGATTGATAGGCTTATAGATGTTACATTTTTCTTTGTGTCCAGCATTAACAAGAGGAGGAGTTAAGAGAAAAGAAAGGGGGCCGCTAAGGGGTGTTTGAGACACAAAATGAACAAAATGTACATTTATCAGTCTGCTGCACTGACAACTATCAATCACTGATAAAGCCCAGTATTGTACAACAATAACTTGAGCGGCAAAGAAATCCAACACAAAGTAGCTATTCTTTTAGGCAGATAACTAACACAAACTACTCAAAAACAGCTTTTTGCATTATTGTTGCTAGCATTAGAACCATTAGGCTGTTTTCAGTGCTGTAGAGCTCCACAACTTCTTACCCAAGCATCTTAACAAGAGCAGGAATGCCTCCAGACTTGAAGATTGCGAGGAGCCCCTCACGATGGTGGGAAAGGTTGTGTAAGGTGCCAGCAGAGCAGCGAGCTGTCTCCACATCCCCAGTGTTCTGCATAGCACGTACAACGGCCGAAACCATTTGTGGCGAGCGCATCAGGGCGTGGCGCGATGCCTCCTTCTTGGACAACTGATGCACCATCACAGCTGCTTTGTTCACGACAACCTGGGAAATAGATTTGTTTTGGGTTAGGGAAGCATGGAAAAGGAGGGGATTTATACTGCATTGCCAATGACTTTAATGATACCACAGGTGTTTGTTAATGTGATAATCACTTATTGGTAGCCATACCTGGTCCTCGTCATTAAGCAGTTTGGTAAGCTCAGGGATGGCACGAGTGGCCAGCTCAGCATCATCTTGATAGTTGATGAGGTTGACCACAGCATGCTTCAGCATCTGAGAGGGCTCCGCCAGGCGCTGCACTGCTGTGGGGTGGGCAGCGTCCAGCTGGGTAGGTGAGATCTGGATGCCCTCCTCCAAGGTCTCAGGGAACATGGCAGCACGCACGCGCTGGGCCCGGGTCATGGCATACCCCTCCATGTCTGAAAGTTATGCAATATGCCGATTAACTATAGAAATGTCTCGCACATCAGAGATGTATACAATTGATGCCGTAGAAAACGTTTCTTGTATACCTGTAGGCTCAGGAGTGAAGGGCTGGTTGAACTCCCAGTCGTAGAGACCTGGATCATCCTCCTCGGCATCAGGGTTTCCCTTGCCACTCAGAGATGGAGCTGAGGTTGTTACTCCAGACTGAATTCCTGAGTCCAGGTAGGACTGCTGCTGCCACTGGCTCACTGCAGCCTTGCTGTCTCCCATTGCCATGTCCAACTCCATCAAATCAGCTACACAAAATGGGGAACACAGGGAATTACAGATTAGGAGAAGAATTATCTGAACTTTCTAACACTTTTAATTAGTTTTTTTTAGCTTTGAGCTAAACATAATTGTTCTTGAAAAGGTTTTAGTAATCTTATAAATTACAAAACGTGTAATCTTAAGTAAATGCAGAGGTGAGATATGGGAATTAAAGAAGTTAAATTGCCATGAGAATAAAGAGGCCCAAAAAGTTTGAATCATGTTGAGGCAAAATGGGGAAAAAACAACAAGCAGAGAAAAAGCTTTAGCTTCTCTATACCTGGTGGCCTTAGGTAATAAGCATACAAGGAGAAGTGTTAACATCAAATTCCTCTTTCAATCCCCCGGCCACACTTTTCTAGACAAGAAACTCAGATGTAACAAAGGACGAGTTATAATAACTCTGGGACATGTGCTCACCTAGCTTACGGTGAGTAAGTGACTTCCAAGGTAATTCATGCATTTATGTACAGTAAAAACACAACCTATCTACACATGAGGAGCAGTGTTCACATTATGTACTTAAAAGGAAATAAAGTGTTTTTATACTTACACTGGGTAGCCATTGTTCTTGCCTGCCCTCAGCCCGCACAGCAGATAAGTCTGCGTAAAGGAAAAAAGTACACAGGGGAAAATGAGAAAACTCGCAAACAAACTTGAGTTTCTGTTTGCTAAAGCCAACTCCAATGTTTCTTGCGTTTCTCTTACGTGGTCTCAAGAGTAAAACCACTGTCTTCTGCGCTACCTGTACCAGCTCCCTGTGATTCAGACGCTTGTTTGCCTTGCTAACGTAGCTAGGAAGGGAAATGCCGAGCCTCCACCTCCAGCCGAGAGAGCAAAGCAGTGGGTATTTCCAGGCCAGCACGAACACAATTCACCATTCAGCGGCAAAGAACATCAAAGGCATATTTCTCCCCCTCCCCCTACCACGGCCAAGTTCCGACCTCGCAGCTTGGGTTTCCAATGAGAGAAACTACCCCTCCGCCCCGCAATCACTTCCATGACTCCTCCTCTCGTGCAGAGTCTAACTAGGAGCATAACAAAATACCCCAAAAAAAATAAGCCCATCAAACTGTACAGGATGCACTAGTCATATTTTAAGGGCATATCACTTGAGACCGAGGTGCTAGCATGTATTAACCACCATTCCTAGCTAACAGGTTGCCTAGCTTACCTTGATAGCTCGCTTAGCTCCCTTAACGTGCGTAGCTTACTGCTTCACTAGTTAGCCAACTAGCTAACATAAACAAACACAGTTAAGGTCCTTACTTACAAAGCCTAAATTGTTCAGTCTGATCCTGAGACTCAACCAGTAGTATTTTAAGTAGTTTTCGTTACAAGTCGGCTCATCATTTGAATCGTGACTTTCAAGCCAACCCAATGTTTTATTCTGGTTTGATTAGCTTAGCTAGCCAGGACGTATGAAAAGTAGATCCAAGCACCACCGTGCAAAACCTGCTGTGCTGCCAGCCAAATCAGAAAACCCCACTGGAGCCCCCTCCCTGTTCAACGATGGTTTTCTTTGGTGAACAAACATTGCCGCGATGTAAATCCATTATATTATAATAGCTGCAGTAAACGTACTACCCTTACCAGAGTCGAGAGGTTCTCCGTGGTTCTGTTGGGGAAAATGTTGTTTTTTCTCTTGGCTGGAAATAGGAAAAGGGCTGCTAGGTGAACCACCCGTAGAAGTCCGAACCACACCCGCTGGAGATGTTGCTTCCGCCTGTGCGATCGAGCATCAAGATGGCGAGGAAAAAAATATTCTGCCGCACTCGGAAAAATAGGGCGCCCTTTTAAACAAAGTTTTTAGCTAAATAAACTGTTATTTAACAGACGTTGACAGATATTAATATTTTTTTTGTTAAGAGAAGACCTCTTTTTTCATATTTGATCGATTTCATTCAGGTAAATGAAATATGTGTTATAGTGTAGTGGCGGTGAGGACGAGGAGCATTTATTAGAATGGAATGTGATTCATGAGCTGCTTTGATACGATAGAGGCTGAGGGAGTAAACCGTCACAGCACATATTGCACACATTTTTCCAATTAAATAACCTATAGTTTTGCAAACATTAAATGTCACACATCACGTTTCTCATACTTGCACCTGGAATTTTTTTTACGTTTAAGAAACTGCAGTGGTTAAAAGGAAGCTGAAAGATGTACCATATCATGATTGAGTTTGAGTTTTCTATTGAAACCCATAATATGATCATATAACACATCAACCCATTGATAAGAAAAAAACATGGCCACAGTAAGATAATACTGTGCTTTAGGGTAATTGACATTTGATCTCTTATCTCCATTGTTGTTGTTTTTTGTTGACATGAACTGTACAGCAAACTGAGTTTAAGTAATCACTAACTGATTAAAGGTGCGAAGTAAAACGCTATTTTTTATGGCCAAAAGATATATGCTTATTCTTGATATTAATTAAAATTGTGTGCATCTCTGTTTTAGGCAATTCTTTAACAACTAGCTGATATCAAATGTCAATGCCCATGTAGCAATAGTCTGATATTTAGGATTCTCTTACATTCATCTAGTGTTGTTCATCTACCTCAGCTTCTTAGCATTAAATACACACACTTACAATTGCTGTATGAAAAGGAAATGTCTTGATATATTGAAGGAAAACATTCAAGAGTGTCACAAATAGTGGAGTGCCTGTTCATGTGTCTGACTCATGCCATGGAACAGAAAAGGTCAAAGTCCAGTGTCATAGGGAAATATATTGTTGTGAATAAAATACATTATATATAAAGGAAACTTACTTTCATTTGTTATACCACAACAATCAGTTGGAATATGTTCTTATCATATAATCTCTCAAACAGTGACAGAAATGTTAAGGCTATACAAATGCATTGCATTTCTTCAAGGAGTATGAATGATAGTAAGAACAGTAATTAGATAGACCCTAATGCCAATGGAAGTTTAATATATATATATAAATGAAAAAAAATCCTTCCTTAAACATTTTCATTTATTTGGCTAAATGAGTGGGTCTTATACTTGCAATAAGTCATGCAAGTGCATATTAGGTATACGCTTATATCATTCCAGTCATGAAATTATAATTTTCTGAAGTGTATTCATCTGCAGTGCCCACAAAAAGGCGTACAGGATAACACATTAAAACGAGCTGCCCATAAACCATATTATACGGAGATATCAGGAGAAACAGTTTGGACACAAGACACTGGAGAATTGTCTGAATATATTTTAAATAAATAGTGCACAAAAATGAGCCCCCCCAAAGAGGTTAGAGATCAGAATATGCTGAACAGCAGCAGCCATAGTGCCTACACAGGTGGGACAAAATAACAGGAACCACTTACAATGCAGAAACCCCACAGTCAATACCTTGGTGTGCTGAGGCTCATACATTTAAGCTATCGTTGAGGCTTGTAATAGGCCCCATCAATAAAAAAAATATATAAATGGCCTTAATAATGGCAATTTATTTAAATTAATAAGAAACACAGGAGGAGTTATATGAAGATCAACTGCATTTTAAGGTGTTTCTGTTACTTTGTGCCCCGCTGTCCTTTATTGCCCTTTGTTTTTGTGACTGAGGAAGAGCACTGTAAACCAAACAAAAAATGTAGTGTATGCACAAGGTCACTTCACCTTGTGGCTCAACTCCAGGTACCTACTGTAAGTTGAAATGTCGTTTTTATTAATTCCCCATCACAGAATAACTATTTTTTATTTTTGACTGACAAGCAGAGGAATGACTGGTAAAAAGAATGACTGCCTCACTGTTGTAAAATAAAAACATATTTCATCAAAACAAAAGCAAAGAGAAGCCATTTGGATGAATCCGAATAAATACACCTTTTATTTGACTGATTAACAGATCTGATTATACAAACGCCAACACAGAGCTCTGAAATAACAGGACCAATCAGCGAGACAATGACTGTACATTCTTGGTGTGACCCTCCTTTGTTCTAACCCCC